GGGAGTCTCTGCCCACCACAAGCAGACCCCAGTATATCTTATATTTTATATTCATTGGGTTTACTCTGTTTGTGTCAGGATGCCAGATCCCCTGGAACTGGAGTTATGGACAGGTGCAAGCAGCCATGTGGGTGCTGGGTATTGAACCTGGGTCCTCTGGAACAGGAACCAATGCTCTCAACCACTAAGTCTTCTCTCCAGCCTCCATTATTTTTAAACTTTTCTATTTATGTGTGTGGGTGTTTTGCCTACATATATACATACAGTGCCTGCAGAGGCCGGTAGGTAGTGCCAAATCCCCCAGAGATGGCGTTGTGAGCCACTAAGTAGTGCTAGGATTGGAACCCAGGTCCCCTGGAAGAGCAGCCATTGAGCAACCTCTACAACCCTCTTTATTTATTATTATCACTTTGTGTTTTTTTTCCCCCCTCAAGACAGAGTATCTCTGTGTAGCCCTGACGGTCCTGGAACTTGCTCTGTAGACCGGGCTGGACTCAAACTCACAGATCCACCTGCCTCTGCTTCCCAAGTGCTGGGATTAATGGTGTGTGCCCTTTCAAATTCCTTGTAAAAATTACATGTATTTAGTATGTGTGTCATAGTCAGGGTTTCTATTGCTGGGACAAAATGCTATGACCAAAGCTACTTAGGGAAGAAAGGTTAATTTGCACATCAATGTTCCTCACTGAAGGAAGTCAGGCCAGAAACCTGGAGGCAGAGCTGATGCAGAGGCCGTGGGGAGGAGCTGCTTACTGTATCCCTCGGTCTTTCCTACAGAACCCACTGCACTAGCATACCGTCAATCACCATGGGCTAGGCCCTCCCCCGTCAATTATTGATTTTAAAAAATGCTCTACAGCCGGACCTTATGGAGGCATTTTCTCAACTGAGGTTCCCTCCTTTCAAATGACCTAGCTTATTTGACATAACTTGACATTAGCTAGCACAGTGTATGTGTATGCCCATGCGTGCATGTCACCTCTAGAGTGTGGAGGTCAGAGGACAACTTGCAGGAGTCGGTTCTCACCTTCCACCATGTGGGTCACAGGAATAAAGTTGGGGTCACTAGGCAAGCGCTGTTACCCAGAGTTGTCTGGGCAGTCCTATTTTTAACATTCACATTTGGAAATGTCTTTATGTGGGAGGTCTTCTTGGCAAACATTAATTGTGCTAGAATTCTCATTCTCAGCGGGTGGGAGGCTTCATTTTGACTCTGCATGGCCTTCCTGGGTTCATTTAATTTTCTTTCTCTTGCCTTAATACCTTACCTTGTTTCTTGAGACTCAACCACAGAAGGCATACTTAAGCACACAGTAGGTCTCTACTCAGAACTTGGGGGTGTTACCTCAGCAGAGCACTTCCCTACCTTGTGTGTTGCCCTTGGCTCCATCCCTGCACCACAAGAGAGTAGACAGATGGATGCCTGGGTGGGAGGGGGGCTCTCACACTCAAATCCCAACTACTCAGAGCTGAGGAAGAAGCACCATTTTGGGTGGAGGGGCCAGAGCAATCATTTATTACGATTTATTAAACTTTGCTCAGGGGGAAAGAACTACCCAGGGTGGAAGGGCCTCTGGAGAAGGATCACCCAGAAGGCCCTTCATAGTCCTCGGCAGTTCCAGGCCAGCTTAGGGAGTAGAGTAAGACTGTCTCAAAAAAAGGTAAAGTTACCCTGTGTTTAAAGTCCGGTGGATAGAGCGCTTGCCAGGCAAGCATGAGGACTGGAGTTCGTATCCCCAACGCCCACATAAAAGCCAGGCACAGCCGCTGACATCTGTAACCCTAGAGCAGTATGTCAGATCTCCAGCTCCAGGTTCAGTGGGGACTCTGTCTTACAAATTAAGGTAAAGCGTGAGCGAAGAAGCCATGTGACCACCTCGGGCCTCCTAGTGCACCCCACACACAGGTTAAAAAGCATTTGTTGGGGTGGTGAGGTGGCTCAATGAGTACATGTGCTTGCTTTGCTGCCAAGCCTTACTGCCAGAGTTCAATACCAAGGGCCCACATGGTGGAAGGCGAGAATCCAAGCCCCCAGTCCTTCTGGATCTCCCCATCTGCACGGACACCAGCGAACCGATGGTGAATGCCCAACCCCACGTCCCCAGCACCATAGGGGTGGCACTGTCTGGTGTTTCAAAGGCCCTCTGCTTTACTCCTCCCACAGCTGGGGGAAACTGAGGCACGGCCTAGCGAGCCCTTCCCCCTCTACTCTTAGCCCTGTGAAATCCATGCCGACAGCTGAGTCACCGGGATCTCAGAAGACTTCCCCCAAATCCTCCCCGCCCGGTGACTGGAAAAAGTCCGATTGTGGAGAAGCCAGATCTTCACGAGGCTCGGGCGGGACCGGCCCCTAGAAAGTCCCCGAGGTCGTCCCCACTCTCGGGCCACCGAGACGACGGGCCAGAGGGTCGCCCTGGGCGGCCAGGCCCCGCCTCCGCCCGC